GCGACAAATCTTCTGAAATGGAAATGAGGACAACCACTCCATTCACAATATCCTCAAAAAAAATAAAATACTTGGGAATCAACCTAACAAAAGAGGTGAAAGATTTATACAATGAAATCTACAGAACCCTAAAGAGAGAAATAGAAGAAGATCTTAGAAGATGTGAAAATATACCCTGTTCATGGATAGGCAGAACTAACATCATCAAAATGGCGATATTACCAAAAGTTCTCTATAGGTTTAATGCAATGCCAATCAAAATCCCAACGGCATTTCTTGTAGAAATAGATAAAGCAATCATGAAATTCATCTGGAAAAATAAAAGATCTAGAATATCAAAAGCAATTCTAAGCAGGAAGAGTGAAACAGGCAGTATAGCGATACCAGATTTCAAACTATACTACAGAGCAATAGTAACAAAAGCAGCATGGTACTGGTACCAAAACAGGCAGGTGGACCAATGGTACAGAATAGAGGGCACAGAGACCAATCCACAAAATTACAACTATCTTATTTTTGACAAAGGGGCTAAAAGCATGCAATGGAGGAAGGATAGCATCTTCAATAAATTGTGCTGGGAAAACTGGAAATCTATATGCAAAAAAATGAATCTGAATCCCTTTCTCTCGCCATGCACAAAAGTTAACTCAAAATGGATCAAGGAGCTTGATATCAAAACAGAGACTCTGCATCTGATAGAAGAAAAAGTTGGCTCCAATCTACATAATGTGGGGTCGGGCTGGCTCCAAATTCCTTAATAGGACACCCATAGCACAAGAGTTAAAAACAAGAATCAACAAATTTGACTTACTCAAACTAAAATGTTTTTTCTCAGCAAGAGAAACAATAAGAGAGGTAAATAGGGAGCCTACATCCTGGGAACAAATTTTTACTCCTCACACTTCAGATAGAGCCCTAATATCCAGAGAATACAAAGAACTCAAAAAATTAAACAATAAGGAAACAAATAACCCAATCAACAAATGGGCCAAGGACCTGAACAGACACTTCTCAGAGGAGGACATACAATCAATCAACAAGTACACGAAAAAATGCTCACCATCTCTAGCAGTCAGAGAAATGCAAATTAAAACCACCCTAAGATACCATTTCACTCCAGTAAGAATGGCAGCCATTATGAAGTCAAACAATAACAAGTGCTGGCAAGGATGTGGGGAAAAGGGTACACTTGTACATTGCTGTGGGACTGCAAATTGGTGCGGCCAATTTGGAAAGCAGTATGGAGATTCCTCGGAAAGCTGGGAATGGAACCACCATTTGACCCAGCTATTCCCCTTCTCGGACTATTCCCCAAAGACCTTAAAAGAGCATATTATAGGGATACAGCTACATTGATGTTCATAGCAGCACAATTCACAATAGCTAGACTGTGGAATCAACCTTGATGCCCTTGAATAGATGAATGGATTAAAAAATGTGGCATTTATGCACAATGGATTATTACTCAGCACTAAAAAATGACAAAATCATGGCATTTGCAGGGAAATGGATGGCACTACAGCAGATTATGCTAAGTGAAGCTAGCCAATCCCTAAAAAAACAATTGCCAAATTTCTTCTTTGATATAAGGAGGGCAACTAAGAACAGAGCAGGGAGAAAGAGCATGAGAAGAAGATTACCATTAAACAGGGATGAGAGGTGGGAGGGAAAGGGAGAGAGAAGGGAAATTGTATGGAAATGGAAGGAGACCCTCATTGTTATACAAAATTACATATAAGAGGAAGTGAGAGGAAAGGAAAAAAAAAACAAGAGAGAGAAATGAATTACAGTAGATGGGGTAGAGAGAGAAGATGGGAGGGAGGGGGGCGGGGGGATAGTAGAGGATAGGAAGGGCAGCAGAATACAACATACACTAGTATGGCAGTATGTAAAAACGTGGATGTGTAACCGATGTGATTCTGAAATCTGTATACGGGGTAAAAATGGGAGTTCCTAATCCACTTGAATCAAATGTATGAAATATGTCAAGAGCTTTGTAATGTTTTGAACAATTAATAATAAAAAAAACCACGCACACACATATACATACACATACATGGAAGATCTGAGATGGGAGAGAGAGGAAAAAAGGAACTGAAATAGATTTAAATTTTCTCAAGAAGGCCTAGAGTTGTGCTCCTACAGGTCCCTCTGAATTTACGGCATAGAAGCCATGGACTGTTTTAGAGATATCTGAGAGGAGAGAGACCTAGAATACTGTTTCCCAAGAATTAGTCCTGGGAGATTGCAAGCCTCTTAAAGAATGCCATGCAGTGCCAATGTCTATAGCAGCACAATTCACAATAGCCCAACTATGAAACCAGCCCAGGTGTCCATCAACAGATGAATGGATAAATCAAAATGTGGTTTGTTTACACAATGGAGTTTTATTCAGCCATAAAAAATGAGATTATGTCATTTACAGGATAATGGACTATTATGTTAAGTGAAATAATCCAAACTCAGAGAGGGTTGCATGTTTTCTCCCCTAAGTGAAAGCTAGAGAGGAAAAAGGAACAGAAAGGTGTGTGTGTGTGTGTGTGTGTGTGTGTGTGTGTGTGTGTGTGTGTTGAAGGGTGGATTTCATGAAAATCAAAGGTAGATCAGTAGAAGAAAGGGACCAGGGGGTGGGAGGTAGGGAAGTGTTGGGGAGTGATATTGGCCAAATTATATTGTTATTTTGTGTGTATGTAAAAATACATAAAAACAAATTCACCATTAAATACAACTATAATGCATGAATACAAAATGTGAAAAGAGAAACAAAAAAGCAACACTGTGCAATACAGTCTTTAAGATTGAAAAGCATTAGCCAAGCCTGGTGGCATAAATTTGTAATCCCAGAGATTTGTGAGGCTCAGTCAGGAGGATCCGAAACTTAAAGCCATCCTCAACAATTTATAGAGGCCCTAAGCAACTTAGTGAGACCCTATCTCAAATTAAAAAAAAAAAAAAGGACTGGGGAAATAGCTCAGTGGTTTAGAGCTGGTAGGTCCAATTCCCTGTACAAACCATTAATTAATTAACTAATTAAAAGATTGAAATACATTAAGGAATTCCAGTTCCTGGGCTAATGGACCTGAGGACAGCATATCTGGGGAAGGCAAAGACTTTCAAAATTAGGGAATGGGGATCACACCATGCTGAGGGACAGTTTGTGGCACTGACTGTTACCATCTAGGGGTGCTGAGTTTGTTGCCTTTGTTTCAGCAAAGACTTGAAGAACAGGACACAGAGAGAGCAAACAAAAAGTAGGTTTATTGCAAAAGCAACAGATAGCTAGACTTCTCTAAAGAGAAGTTTCCTCAGGGCTGGGAATGTGGTGGAGGAGTTTTGGCTTGTTCTTTTTGTGGTCTCTGGAATTTCCTCCTTTCCTTATCTCCTCTCCTGTCCACATTCTCTTCACTTATTGATTGGTGGCCCCTCTGTCCACACATCTGTTTTAGTTTTTCTATTGAATCCCTGCTTAGGAGCATGAGTATGGAAGTGTCTGTCTGACTGGGTCCCCTGCTTGTGTCCATCACAACTTTTGTCAACTAGGAAGTTGACCTAATCAGAAAACGTAATCTATGCTCCTTTGTTCTGGCCTGCCCCCCCACTTCTTCATTTGTCATCTTTCCCTGACTACTTAAACCCTTCTATATTTCCCTCACAACCATTCTGGCATTCAAACAAGGAGAATGTATACAAAGAATATATAAACCAAGAAACAAGAGGTTCCTGCATCATGGTAACTATCAACAGTCACAACAGCAGGTACTTATAAGGAAAGAGAAGGAGGTTATAACTAGGCAAGGACAGATATGCCTGTGAGCCAAATTCTACTTCAACTTTTTCTTGACAATATGGAAACCTATTCCTTAGGAACTTAGATTATCTTTGCATAGAAAATGGTGTGGGCAGTCCTGAATTTGTCTAAGTATTTTCTTCAAAAGTTGTTGGAATGTTGAATAAAATAGTAAATATAAAATCCATATGTGTTAAATTAAAAGTATATTCTTTACAGGTGAACTTCAAGATTCAGGTTTATACCTTCTAGGTATAATAAGATTATTTAGAAAAACTATGCAGTTTAAAAATCTGATAAATTTTTTCCTATGGTTTTCATTTATTCTGCTTCATACCCCAGGTTCATTTATATCAACAGAAAAATATGCATACAAAAAAGTAATACCCCCTGAAATAAAGATAGATGAATGAAGGAGGAATATAAGAGACCTATCAATAATACTATCCAGCCCTGATATTCAAGTCAAGTAGTCCCAGGAATGATTTCAGATTCTACCACATATTAGCAACTCTGAATTGTCTCATTCATAAAATGGGAATATCTACCTTATAGGAGTATATGAGGTAACAATGACAAAATGGATATAAGGCTTTTAGATTAGTATCTGGCAGGCAGCCAACATCCAAGCTCTTTATCCTAATTCTTATTGTTCTTATTATTTTGTGAATCACTGTGTATAAATCTCTGTGTCTTAGATTCTTATCTTTAATAGTTATGATCAGAATAATCAATTAGTATAAATGAGTCATGATTTATTTTGAAAATTCCTACAAATATTATTTCATAGCTCTTATGTAGGCAAAAATTTACATTTATTTCTATTAATATATGCCATAGAGTATCAATCCATTAATTATTTATGTAAACAAATTCTATCACCAAATACTTTTCCAACAGCCATTATCTTGGCTGAGGAGAAAAAGGATCCTGAAAGAGGATCTAGATCATTTGAATAGCATTTTAGTGGAGCTCATATGTCATTGAACCACTTTATAGATTTACCTATTAGATGGTCAGTCAAGGTATCTATGGGTAAGTCAGTTAATAAATGCAAATAATCCTATTGAAACATTTGCTGTTTATAGTTTGTATAGCTCTTTTAAACAGACTGATTACTTCCCTTTATAATTCCACCCCTGAAGGCACACAGAGTTTTGTTCTTTGTCATCATTGCATGACATTCCATTTGGCAGCTTGCTTATTTTTAGCCAGACTATCAAAGTATTTTTCAACTGGACTGTCACTGCACTTGAACTTGGAATCCTGTGACCTGAAGAACTGCATTGGAGAAAAGGAAAAACTCCTGACAAATGGGGAATTATAAATCTAGACCAACCCAAACTTGTACTGGTAATTTTTCTCAGTTTCTTAAATGTAACGGTTCAATTATAGTTACAAATAACTAAATAACTCATTGGAATATGTGTTAATTTGTATACAGAAGATATTACAATGCATTATGTAAAAGTGTCGGGAAGAGTATCTGAACTTAACTATTTTTTCTCTGAAAGGTATTTACAGAAAACAGAAAATTTCTTATAAAATATTATTTTAATTTCTTGGTATAATGTTATAGAAAAAAATTAGAATACTGTTGAATATAGAGATTTTAGAATTATATCTTTAAGTATCTAGTACTTAAAACCTAAAAACTCTAACTGCTAGAGATTGCTATAATTAAAATGCAATAAAATCAAATGAAATAAGTCAAATATATTCTTCTATGTAAATATATTATCCAATATCAAATGGATTCTTAATTACTACAATTCAATATGATTGCATTTTAAATATAAACATCTGCATTTTAAACTCACAATCAGTAATTTAAATTAAGTATTGTAGAATCCAGAATAACAAACAGGGTTTTGATTACTTGTATGTTATGATCTGTGTCTACATTTTGCAAAACACAACCATCAATCAATCTCATTTGTTTTTCTTTGCTAGACGAATGGAAGAAGAAAGTCAGTGAATCTTATGTTATTATAATAGGAAGATTAGAAGATGACCTGCAGATCAAGGAAAAAGAATTTACAGAACTAAAGAATATATTTGGGTAAAGTTCTCAGAGACAAGACTTCTTTGTAGAAGGGTCTTCATTAATGATCTTGTTTTTAGATATATCCTTTTACTGTGTGAGTCTGAGGGGGGAAGAGGAAGGGAAAGAGAAAGACAGAAAGATAAAAAGAGAATACATATCCATAAAACCTTAGATATAGCCAGTCATGTTCTGCCTTAGAGTGTCAGGTTATCTCTTTTTGTATGCCTCTCAATGTACAACTATCTCACCTCCTTAGTAAGACTTGCATTCTCTCCTCACTAAAGTTTTAAAAAGAGTAGAACATAAGGGCTAGCCTTTGAACCCAAACTGTTATGGTCTAAACAATCTTATCTTTTCCTATGGTGGCAATATGTTAGCCACATTGCCCTTCTTTGGACTACTGAGGTAAGTCCAATTCTCCTAAACTCTCTTGTCTCTGGACATTGAAAGGCTGTCCCTTAATGAAAATGAGTATAATTCTGTACCCAAACAATCATATAACAACATGAAATATTGACTTCAAGCTTTTAGTGGGGTTTGTTTTATAATAACAAGAGAAAAAATAATCTGGGATAGTATCACAATAATGGGAGGACAGAGAATGTTCAGAAAGGAAGGGAAACTAGATGCACTTTGGTATAGTTATATACTGAGGAAAACATAAACATAGAACAATTAAATATGCCCATTTCCAGGTGTATTACTCATATAATGCACTCATGGCAAAGAACTCTATTTTATTTAGAAAACAAGTATAAAGCAATGATGAAGTGATTTTAGATTTTTCAAAAGAAATTCAGACATAATAAGTATATTATAAATATCATGTAACTAGTAAATGAGATCATCCATGAATCCTATAGTTTATATGAAATTTGTCAATAAAATTAATAAGGTCTTCACAGATATTCAATTTATTGTTTGAGAAACAGTTGATTCTCTCTAGTCCCAAATGATGCACTCAACATGGACATTTGTGATGAGATACCAGTGGAATATAACTTTTTCAAGTAGAATCACATGATTCTGTGGTGTAGGAGAACATTTGGCATTCTTGTAGAGATACGATTGACACTTTGGTACAGAAGATTTGTACATACATATTTATTTTGTCGGAAAAGGAATACGCATGTAGAACTTAATCATAACACTCTACCTCTTACTGACAAAATTAAATATACTGAATGAAATGGGACGCTGAAGAGATTTTTCTCAACTTTGTGAAGTCAAAGCCTCATCTATTTATTTATTTGTAATTTAGGAAGTATTGGGCACATATGTTAAGTTTAGCTAATACTAAATATAACATTTTGATAATTGTTTGAACTTAATACCTTTGAGATATAGAGTTTTGTTGGGTTTTTTTTTTTTTTTTTTTTTGGCACCACATTAGCTCCCAGCTGTCTTAACAATTCCTCTGATAGCTGACATTTCTTATAGACCCAATAAATGGAATGATTTTTGCTGGTTATTTCTAAGGGTGAGAAGTAGATATCAGTGTTAGGAAATTTACAGTCCAGAATTTGTTCACTATCAGCTATGTTCAAGGCATTATTCTAGAAATATCAAATATAAGGCATTATTTAATCTTCACTATAAGCCTATATGGTGGATAATATTGATTTTGGTGTATAATAAACTAAAGACAAGACATGTGACTTGTCAAGATAACAAGGTTAGTAAATGCTGAAATGTGACTTAAAAGATCTGCCTGACTCCATGGACAACCCTTCATACTATACACTACTTCTTGCTTCAAGAATTTACCAATAGATTCTGTAGAGACTGGTGTGTGTGTGTGGGTGTGTGTGTATCTATATACACACACACATATATCAGTCATATGTATATATATACACATACATATATACAGTCATATATATATAGTCTCATATATAGTCATATATTATCAGCCATATGTATATATATATATGTATATATACACATATACAGTTTATATATATATATATATACATATATATATATATATACATATATATATATATATATAATCATCAGCTATAACTGTCTTCCATGAGGGCTATTTATATATAGAATATATAAATGCTACAATGGGTTTTGATTTATTTGTTGATTTTAAAAAGCATCAGATAGCAGAATACAACAGTCACTAGTATGGCAATATGTAAAAACGTGGATGTGTAACCAATGTGATTCTGCAATCTGTATACGGGGTAAAAATGGGAGTTCATAACCCACTTGAATCAAGTGTATGAAATATGATATGTCAAGAGCTTTGTAATGTTTTGAACAACCAATAAAAAATAAATAAATAAATAAATGATTACCAAATCATAAAAAAAAAAAATCAGAGATAAAGAGCATAGTTAAGTAAAGGTGTCTAGCAAGAATGCATTAGTGCCATAGGAATTCTAGAAGAGGTAAGTAAAAATAATTTCTTGACCAAATGATTTGAGTAGGAAAGCTCTGCCACTCAGGGTACTGGTTTGGGTCATAAAGAAATGGTTTTAAATCTGGGTTCTTAATAAAAGCTGTATACCCTTCAATATATTTCTTAATCTCCTGGATCCTCATTTGAATCTGTAAAATGAGATTAATGATAGCTACCTAACAGGATATTTGTGAAAGGGAGAGAAATGAATGCTAAAAATAGGTCAAACACAATAGTTATTGAAAAATTGGAGGTTTCTATTATTAGCTAAATAAGGATAGAATAAGGACAGAGAACTTTATTATGAAAGAGAAAATGAAAAAGTTAAGATAAAATATTTTCATATGAAGAGAATATATTCAGAACTAAAAATTATAAAATGTTGAAGCAATTCAGGATGATACTAAAATCTGGAATAAAGTTCTTGAAGATTGTCATTGATTTTTGAAGAATTTCAAGACCTGAGTATTGACAAGCTCATCAAAATGGATGTCAAATTTTTTGAGATATAGGGTAGGGCAATTTGTAGAGGAAGATTACTAGTTTGGTGCTAAAGCCATGAAGGAAGCTACAGAAATGTCCCATTAGCCAGAAGTGTTGATAATAATGCTGGGAACAGAATTACCCACATTCTAGAGTCATGCTTCTCATGGGTGAGGACGTTCTAAGTTAAAGTAGTCTGTTGTATTTGCTACAATTATAGATTTTGTGACTCAATCTTAGAGATTTTGTGACTGAATCAGATTCTGTGGGGATGATGTCTAAGAATCTGATTTATTAACATGTTCTTCTGGTAATATTTATACATTGTAAAAAGGATAATTATGCTAAACTTTGAGAACAATAGAAAGAATGTTTGCCTGGGGTGATATTGTAAAAGGGATTAAGGACATCAGATTAGAAAATAAATTACCTAATATAGTCTGTAGAAAGCCAGGAGTGTTACACAGACACACATATACACACACACACACATGCAAATATAGTACTATATTTTTACCTGACTCCATCCTGGAAGGTAGCACCACCTGAAAAGATACTCAACTGTTTATAGGTCAGTATTCTGAGAATGTTTTTTCTCTGGAATAAAATGATGGATGACAAAGAAAGCAAATTGTGCCAAGAATATAAAGTCTTACTCATCAGCTCATCCACAGAATTTTATGAGTAGTTAGGGAAATTATATATATTATTTATGAAATCACATTTGAATATCTAGGGGCTAAATGAATATCAGAATCTCTATTTCTCATCCTTAATCATAGCGTATACAATGCAAAGAGTACTTCCATGACAAACAGCTACTTGACATCAGCCTTTCCCTAAAAATGTAAGTAGCAAGAAAATTGTACATGATATTCAAAAAGATGCACACCAGAGTCACTGGTAGAGGCTCTCTTATATAAACCCAGGTCTATTTGTTTTTATATGTTGATTTGCTCACAAATTTATGGCATTCTTGGTAGATGCTAATTCTGTTCATTAAACGACTTTACATAATGCACCATTGCTCTATCAGCTCAAATATGCAATCTCCCTGTCATAGATTTTACCCACAATATAATAAAAAAGCAGTATAGCACTAAACTTAATTTAGACAAAAAATTCTACATCATTATCTTCCTTATGTCATTTTATAGCAGCTTTGGAATGAGAGCTTGATGTGGGAAACAAAGGGAATGGAAATGGAATGTTCTTTCATCTTCTGCCATATGTGGCATTCACTCCTAAGTTTGGACATTTGTTGAAGTAATGAATGGTTAACAAAGAGATAAAGAAGAGGAAACAGAAAAGGAAAAAAGACAGAAGTGATATGTTGTAGTACAATTATCATTTCCTGTTCTGTGCTGCCTCTGATCTTTATGTTTAACAGTAAAACACCACTTCTTACATGATGTTGTCTTTGTCCCCTTATAGGTCTGTCCCTTCAGCCCCTCATATTCTGTGTTTATTAAAAGTGCTTCTTTGTCTTCTACCATATTTATATTTGCATTTATTTATGATAACTATGTATATAGAACTCAAAGGAAAACAAACTAATAACTTAGTGCTTACCATATACCAGGCATACTGCCAAGTACTTTTATGTGCATTAGCATAAGCTCATATAATCCTCACTGTGTATGTGTAAAGTGCACACTATCTAGCACATGGCAAAACTCAACAGTTTTATCTTACTTTCACTTTCCCTCTTTTTGCCTTCATTCTCAATCCCATGGCATACTACCTCCTTCATCTCTTCTCCATCTTGTAAAGAACAAAACAATAAAAAGTGAAAATAATTCATATTGAAGCTTTAGTAAAAATTATTACAGGAGTTAATAATTATGAAAGTGTCATAATGTCTAACCTAGTTAAAAACTAATCATTATGGTTTATTTAATCTTCTGAAATAGGTATTGAAATTTCCATTTTATACCTGAAGATAATGAAGCTAATCAAATTAAACTGACTTGAACTAGGTTGCACAATTGTATAGTTGAACTGGAGTTTCATTCATCTTTATTTGATTTCAAAAAGTATTATCTTTATAATCTTGGTTCTCAACCTAGGAGAGGGAAATAGAAATAGACCAGCATTATCTTTCAAAATTTTTTACTTT